GGATGCAGGTCCCAGCACTGACTGCAGCTCCCCTGGTTTTGTCTTTCTTTCTTTTTAAGAACGGGTTCATTTTCCCATTTCTCACGGAGAGCACGCCTTCCCTCCACACTGGGAGAAGGGGGGTGGGGTGTGTGTTATAAATTTCCTATTTTTCTGATAAAACTGTATCGCTACAACGGAAATCAAATCCCGTCTTCGATATTTTTAGCATGAAAGCGTGAAGGAGCACTGATGCTGAGGGAAGGGAGGACGGGCGGGTGCTGGCGGAGGGGAGAGTCTCCATGGAAACTGTTTTCTTTAAATTCCCACATTCGGGGCATTGAGCGTGTAGGAGGTGATGAAGGAAATGAAAAAGCAAAAGAAGAGAGAAGCTATTTTCCTTTCTGTTGTCACAAAACTGCTATAGGAACCTTAGGAGAAATGGGCGTAAATTATTGATCATTTCAATGCGAAAACATGTGAATTTTAATTAATAATCGTCCTGTCGTGTCTCTCAAGTGCAGTGGGTGGGGACGAGCAGGCAGCAGCCTGTGACCGACCAGCCTGCGCTGGAGGGGCCCAAGTTTGTCGAGAGATGTCTTTGAAAAGGATCTGATGCTGTGCTCTGCTCCTGAATTGTAACCTCTTTAAGACTCCTCCATTTTACCCCTCGGGGATGTTTTCCAGTACAATGCAAGACTGTTGCTACTACAGGGAGATGGTGGGGAGAGGAGCCAGAGCCCAGCCCACGGGCGCCGGGGGGGTGACGCTGCTGTCCTGATGGGTTTTGCATTGGGTTGAATACTTATGTTCATGAGGGGTTTTTTTCAGTTGTTAGGGGGTTTTTAAGGTGTGAAAGTCTGTTGTTAGCCAGGCTCTGTTGTTGCCCTTGTCTGAAATCCTGATGGCGGGCATGAGCAAACAGGAGTTTGGGGAGGTTCTGTGGACCTGCATCCCCTGTCCCCACAGGCGCAGAATAAAGGGGTGGCGGGGCCAGGGTGGCATGAGGACCCTCGTGGCGCCCGGCCCCAGCGTTTCAGGTGACGGCTCTGATGACAAGGTGATGCATTAGGTAGCCAGCACTGTCTGAAAAATGTCTCACTGCAGCATAGAAAGTTATTTTTAGTTCATTGAAAAGCGAATGACCTAAAACCAGCATCTGGGATGGATAAGATTAAACAGTGCAAAACATTTTCAACCTAGTAATTTTAGCAGGAAAAAATTCTGCTTAGTGCGAGGTGCACGTTAGCACTGCCTGGCCATGGCCTCTGCAGCTCCTCGGCTGCTGCTGCAGCTCCTGTCCCCGGCGCGTTCTCCGTGCGACACTCTGCTGATGCCAGGCTTGGCTGAGGACATCGCGGCGACCGAGGTCACCCGCTGCAGGAATGCAAACCTCTGCTGGAACTGGGGTGTAGCTCAAGCTGCTGAGCCAGATTGGGTTCCAAACACAAAGTTTCTCAGTGCTTGAGCGTGTTTGGTTTTGGTTGTGGCATCTGTCTGCAGCTGTGGATGCAGTTACCTGTGAGAATGGGCGACAGCTTTTGGCTTAACTTTTTGGGGATATGGTTTGTCTTTTATGTGTTAGACCCAAGGTCCTTTCCTTGAAATTGCAAATTGGTTTCTGATTCTGCAGGATCCTCAAATGCTGTAGTCAGTCTGTCAGGTCCTCGGCAGCATGGGTGGGATTTTCCCTGTCTGGGTGTTCCTTACCAACCTTTAACAGGTGTTTAAAAATACCTGTCCTGCCTCTTCGGGATGCATTTGCTGAATATGGTGATTATAGGAAAGAGAACTATATCGGGTGGATGTTTTGTTCACTGGTGTTTTGCTAATTTAATTTCTGAGGTTCTGGCTTCATTGCAGCCTCTTTGCAAAGGTTTCTCTCATGCAAGGGACTTCGTGGGTCCTCACTATTCTGGCCCATCAGTCGAGCAAATCCAAGGTTAAAGAACTGGGTGAGTATAAGAGAGATTTGGTTTTTCATAGTAGATGCTTGTTTAACAGCAGCATCAAAAACTTGTCTGTACTGTGGGAGCAGGTTGCTGATCTCCTTTTTCATCCTGCCAGCACTAAGTAATCTAGCTATGTGTTACGGCTTAGGTCAGGAGCCACATAGAGGAGGGAAGCAGCTTGCACCCAGCACGGGGAAGCCTTGGTCACACCAGGGATGGTGCCTGGTTGCCTCCAGTCGTGTTGGATGTGAAATGGTGATCCCGAGGTCAGAGGCTGTGCATCACGTTATCTGATGCATTCATGGATTGGAAACGTTTTGGCAGAGAGGCGATCTGTTAAAAGAAGTTTTAAAGATTGTTCAAGAAAGCAGAAGCAACCAAGAAGTATGTGTAGATTACATTGCCTAAGGTAAACCAGAAAAAACAAAACAAAACATGAAAACCTTCCATGATCTGCCTTCCCAGTTGCTTACTGGGAATGATATTTAACCAATAGTTCAAACCCAGCCAAGAGAGGAAGACTAGGTGATCTGAAGAAGTTCCAGATCCATTCAGTAACTTTAACCCCAAAAGACTGAAATTCCTAACAGATGCTGTCTGTGCCCAGTGCTGTGGCCAGCTCCACCATGGTTAACCTGGCTCTTCACCGGTGTAAGCAAGAGCAGAGCTTTTCAGCCTTTTTATTAACGGGAGTAGCAGATGGTTAAAACCTTTCTGGCAGACTTTGCTGCCCACGGAGGCAGTCTGAAGCAGAAGGGTTCCATGCGAGGGAATAAAGTGCTTTGCCTTAGAGCTTTCCAGCTCAGTGCCAGCCAGCCCAGCCCCCGGCACGCTCCCCCTTTCCTCTCAGCAGGACAGGGTGTTACCATTAGCTTCTTGGGTTTTGCTTCTGCAGTGCCATCTCCGTCTGCAGGGAAATTGTCTCCCTAAATCTTTTCACAGCAACCGAGCGTTGTCAGTGAATTAAGACGAACTTCAGAATGCATTCGTGTGTCACTGCAAATGTGCTTCATGCTGCAGAGGTGGGGCGATATGGGGAAGATGCACAAATATTAATAGGAGCAGCCTGGAATTCATCACTCACCTGCCTGCAGCCATCTGGGTTATCACAGCTCAGCAGATGTGGTGGGGCCCTTGCATGCGATCGGGGGTGGGAAGGATCAAGGGCGTAAGCGGGGAAGGCCCCCCTGAAGACGTAGAGCAGCGGGGTGCCGGAGAAAGCGCGGGTGCTGCCTGCTGCTGGTGGCTGTTCTGACTCCCAGGCCCTCCTGGAGACACTCACTCGGCTGAGTGACCATCCTGAGGTGGAGGTGTGTTGTTTTGAGCCCGTGGCTGTGGAACAGGCTCTCAGATGCCTTGTCTGGGAGATACCGTGGCCCAGGGTGTGAATTTGGTGGGCGTTGTCTTGGGTGATGTCCTCGAAGACAGACCATCAGAAACATTCCCAGCAGCTGCAGAAGTCTGTGCCAGTCTGAATTTGGGTTGATGGCCTTTTCTTCCTTGTCTCTTCCAATCTGATGTGGTAGCTTTCTACTGTGTGTCTGAGAGGGATAAAAGTCATAGGAGGGAAAAGAGACAACTCAGGTTGTATGGTTCAGATGTTTTCTGCACTGGCACGTGACAGAGCTAATAGGCAAGAGGAATCATTGAGGTGCTCTGAGGGTGCCAGTGCCTGTGGTCCAGGTGGCACTGGTGGCCTGAGCTGGTGTTTGGAGCTGCAGCTGGCACAGGGGGTCTGCCCCATCCCCGACCTGCGGAGGCTGCAGCCATGGGCTGCCCAGCCCTGGTTGTGCAGGTGGACTGCCGAAATGAGAGGGAAAAGAAATGCAAATGCTGTCAGCGGTCGTGGCAGGAATGAGCTGGCTGTTATCATAGCTAAGTGCTGTTCATTGCAAAATCAATCTTGTGCCCAGAACTGGGTCTCCGAGGCTGCGTTCGTTCTTCCCCCTCCCCAGCTTCGTGCTGGTGGAGAGCTGCACTCCGGGCAGTGGGTGAACACCAGTTGGGCAGTAATTGCTGTGGAATTAACCTCTGACATTCTTCTAAAAATAGGCCAAATAAATCCAATCATTAGCAGCTCTCCTCCTTGCTTTGCCTCAAGGGTAAACACTGCAGATTAAAGCATTTACAAGTTACAGGTCCATGAGTGTTTCCTCGTTTCTCCCTGTTACTGCAGCTAGCACCGGTCCCTGCTCAGGGCTTTTGCCTCCTGGCAATGGCACTTTGGTTTGTGGGGAAGGGGAGCGGTGCGAGCAGGATGGCTTTTGGGGTGGCAGAGGGCTAAAAGGTGTCACTTCAGTTTACCTTGATAAACGATGAGAGATTCAGCAATGGGCAGAGAAGAGTAACAGGGTCAACCAGGCTGCTCTGCCTGGTGAGTTTGGGTGAAGAACACAAAGGTGTCTTCATCTGCCTGCTCCCTCTGCTCCGAGGCGAGGGCAAACTGCCTCCCAGGCACTGCGGGGAGGGAGGAGGCAGAAGAGCCGGGTGGGAGCGAAGCCTGCCCCTTGCCCGGGCAGCGGGGCGAGGTGCAGGGGTGCCGGTGGCACTGAGCCCTCCCCAGGTCCCGGGAGTCCATCGCATCGCCCAAAGAGGGGGGGGCAGCTCCTCAGGCTGTGAGCTGTTCTTGCTGTTCCGTGCCATGCCGAGCCGTTCCGTGCCATGCCGAGCCATTCCGTGCCATGCCGAGCTGTTCTGTGCTGTGCCAAGCCGTTCTGTGCCATGCCGAGCTGTGCCGCCCAGCTCCTCACCCCCCCTGCCAGCAGCGGTCCCCCGGCTGCATTCAGCACGGGCATGGCACGGAGATGGAAATGCTCCTGAATTTGTCTGTCGGGGCACAGGCCAGGTCAAGGGGACGGGAGTGCTGAGCAGGTCTTGGTTCATGACAACAACGTTCCAAAATGCTGTGGCCATTATTATTATAGACAATATAAAAATGGCGATTTATGGAGATCCCACAGGGGACGAGGCGCTGGCAAGGCATGTAGCTGTATGGGGAATGGTGCTTTCTAGATGACTGTGAAAGCCAGTCTGTGGTTACTTAAATTGTCTTTGTCTCCTTCTTTCCAGCTGACATCATCTCTACAGTAGAATTCAACCACACTGGAGAATTACTAGCGACAGGGGACAAGGGGGGCCGTGTTGTAATATTTCAACGTGAGCAGGAGGTAAGTGTCAGTGAATGCAAAATGCCCATTTTATCCTTTTAAGAGAAGCTTCCTGCTGTTTCCTAATCCTTCTGTGTCACTCCTAACCTCAGGTCTCTCCTGGCAGACTCAAAAATGAAAAGCGACTATTGACATAAGCAGGACCAGATTTCATGTTGTAAAACCCCCTCCAAAATCATGTTGCAGTTCTTGCATCCTTTTGCTCCAGTTGCAGCTCTCTGCAGCTGGGTATAACTCGTCTGTCTCACAGCTAACACCACCCTCTCACCCGGCCAAAATGTCTGGAAAGCGTAGATGGATGAATCCATCATGTTTGCCTTCCGGAACACTGTGCCTCAGGAAATGTTAAGAAACCCTTTGCCGAAGCCTTGAGGTGACGGTCTGCCCAGGCTTCTGCAGGAGGTGCGAGTGCTGGGCCCTGGGCACGGGCGCCTGGGCTGGCGTGCACAAAGCTGGCCCGGCCGATGGGAGCTGCCCGCGCCCCGCCACCGGGGAGATTCCCCAGCGTTCCCAGTGCCGTCCCAGTGAGCTGGTCTGGTGCGGCACACGTGGCACTGCGCTTCCTGGGCCGGCGGGAGCCATCCTCCCCCACGGGTCTGTGCGCTGGCAGTGGGAGAGATGAGTCAGGCCTGGACGGGAGAAATGTCACGGTCTGATGATGGTTTTAAATTTTTCTCAAAGTTATAGCCTCAAAATTGTTTCTGTATACGCTGGAGAGAACTGATCGGTTAAAGGTTACATGCATAGACCCTTCATCAACCTTTCCAGCACTGTTTCATTTCTCAGTTCCCTCTCTTTTATTATTCTGCTGCTTTTCTTGAACTTTAAGCTTCCTAGCATCACACCGAGTGTATTCTGTTCAGCTCCTGCTTTGGAGCAGTGCTGTGCTCCAGGGGACAAGTGGGGCTTCACTGACCCAAACGCTTCATTTGCATGCAGGAAGTTCATCTCCACGATAGTTTCCACTTAATTACCTCTGCCCCATTCAGAGCCTGGTGCTGGCTGGTTCACCGTGTGGGATTTGCAGGCACACGATACCTTACAGGTCTGAGCGCGGAGCCGTGGCGTGCAGCATCAGCTCCTGCAGAGGTTCTGTCCTTTTCTCAGTAATTCGTGTTTGAGCCCTGGGGGCAAACACTGCTCATCCTGTGCAGGCGACGCTGCCAGTGGCTCCTTGGGCGCTGGTTTCGGTGCCCGGTGGGAGCTGGTGCTTGGTCTGAGCTGTTCACCAGGGATGGCCGGTGATCCCCTTCCCTCTCCCCTTCCCCCTTCCCTCTCCCCTTCCCCCTTCCCTCTCCCCTTCCCCCTTCCCTCTCCCCTTCCCCCTTCCCTCTCCCCTTCCCCCTTCCCTCTCCCCTTCCCCCTTCCCTCTCCGATTCCAGACCCACACTGCATCACCGCAACCAGCACTCGCTGTCACTTCACAAACCTCAGAGAACCAAAGAGTCGATAGAAAACGTCCCCTCACTCTGTGGGACTTAAACTTCGCTCTGGTCCCTTTCCTGCAGAGCAAAAACCAGCCCCATCGCAGGGGAGAGTACAATGTCTACAGCACCTTCCAGAGCCACGAGCCGGAGTTCGATTACCTGAAGAGTTTGGAGATAGAGGAGAAGATCAATAAGATACGATGGCTCCCGCAGCAGAACGCAGCCTATTTCCTGCTCTCCACCAACGGTACGTGGCCGCGGTCGTGGCAGCCCGCCCCGGCGCTGCTGGCCCCCCGCTCGGCTCCCTGCGCCCCCGCAGCCGGATGGGGCCTTCTCTCGGTGTTTCTTTGGGGAAAATAAGTGTTACAAAAACGTCAACTCCCTTCACAGGAGCACGGGTGTCATGGGGGAGCAGGATGGGTCTGAAACTGTGGCAGAGCTCAATTTCTGTGCGCAAGGTTTTGTCCTTATTTCACAGCAGCCATTCCTTGCAAGGGAGGGAGTCTTTCCCCCCTGCTGACAACTTTAATTTTTTATTTTTTGTATCCTAAGAACTAATTTTTTTTTTTTTTTTAAGAAAAAGTGCAGCTTATTTGTTTCAATTTGCAGCTGTGTTCAGCTCAGCAGCTTCATGTTATGTTCAGATAAATATCAGGAGGATCCAGGAATATTACTTGGGATGAATGGGACCTTAAGATGTATGTGACTTAATTACTTCAGGGGAAAAGGAGGGGTCTAATTATCTTCCATAACCAACTTACTTTGTATTATAGAATTGACTCTATTGATCATTGTAATAAAATTCAAAGACTTATTAAACTCATTTGGGGGAAGAATCATTGAAATGCAATGAAGATTAATTATAGGGCATAATGTTCTGTTAATTGAGTTTTTAAATAGTTTTTTGATTAACAGGGATATTATCTTTCCATTTGGGATGGTGTTTCATATGCTAGCAGGTTATCAAAACGATTCTTTTAGAAATACTCCCATGTTATGTTTTTTCTTTTTGTTTTTACCGTTAAAGTAACATTATGTATAGAAACCTCCTGAAATAAAATGGGTTAATAAAAACAAAATTAATGGCACTCTGTTGGAATTGCCATGTAAAGGAGAAAATGAAGATGGATGATATGGTTGTGTATGAAACCTGATGGAAGTGTTGATAAACTACTGATAGAGTCTCTGCCAGGAGAGAGTAAAGAAAACACCATTATTCAGAATAACCCCCCAGTTTCCTGAAGCTCCTTCCTTCCCTGCGGCTTTGTGGCACGGGGCGGGTGGGATGCCAGGAGGGGAGAGGGAGCGGCGGGGGGTCAGTTCAGAGCTGCCTTCAGGCCGCAGTAAACGCTGGGCAATGCACAGTTTCTGGGTGGGGATGATCAGGGTGACTTTGGAGGTACAGACACCGTGTCACCTCCTCTGGGGAGCTTCCAGGGACAGCTTCCCTCCACACACGCTCTGCTCTCGTCCCAACCAGCTTCCTGGGACCTCGAGTCGCCCATTGCTCTGCTCCCCTCGTCGCACGCTGGATTTCTGCATCAGCTGCGTGGAAAGCAAAGAGGAGGAGAAATACAGCAGCTAGAAGGGACAGCATTAGGAGAGCTGGTGCATCCTTGCTGTTTAACACCTTTCCAGTTATTAGAAGCTAAATTAATTTGGAAATTACTCTTGAAAAGTAACCCTTGGGTAACTGCTGTGTGAGGGAGGAAAAATCTTATGTGGGAGTCTGCTCTCAGCTGGCTTTCTAGTGGGTGTGCTGGTGTGGGGAAGGGGGGTGGGTGTCTGTGTGTGTGCACACGCGTGTGACACGCACCCGTTGGCGGCAGGGAGGAGCAGAGCAGCCCTGTGTGGTGCTGACCCACTGCCAGGACGTGGGGTTCAGCCTCCCGGCGCTGCCCTGTCCCAGTGCCAGCACCCCGGCACCTCCTCTGGGAGTAACTCGGCCCCGTCACTTGATATATCGAACGCCAGCATTCAGAGCATGACCTGTGAGGCTCTGAGCCCTGGGAAATCACTTCTCCTATTATTTCTCCATTAATCCAATAGTTTTGTTATTCAGCCACCTCCTTACATCTGGAATAAATGCACCAGCGGTTGTCCAGCAGGAACAGGAAAACCAGGGCTCTGGGGATAAAGTGTTGTGGTGGCAGGTACATCTTCTGTGACCACTTTCAGCAAGTTGCAGGAGGGGACACAGCAGACTTTTCGCTGCTACAAGCCGACCGGTGTGGCCTCGGTGTGTCCGTCAGCGGGTGGCTGGGGGAGAACCAGCTGTAATGTCTCCTGTCTCCTGCTCCCCAGATAAGACTGTGAAGCTATGGAAGGTCAGCGAGCGGGACAAGAGACCGGAGGGATACAATCTCAAGGATGAGGACGGCCGTCTCCGTGACCCCTCCATGATCACCGTGCTACGGGTGAGTGTGGGGGGACTGACACTGTCGAGGAGCCTTTTCCCTCAGGGTCTTGGATGGAAATTGCTCCTGGTGTCACCTGTGTGCCGCGGTACCAGTAATGCCATCCTGACGTGGTAGGTTGATATCCGAGGGCAGGGGGGTGTTTCTTGTTTCACACCATCTCTGGGCAGGCGTTCTGTGAAGTGCTGCGTTTTGTCTCGTGCTGGGTACCCCAGTGCCACAGTGCTGCATTGCCCTACGTGCCCGACCTGGCAAGAATGCAGTTAACCAACTCTCCCTTCTTAATGCATTCACAAGCACAGCTTCTGCTTCTGGAGCACGAGTACTTTCTCTAAATGAGTTTTCCTCCCAACCTAAGGAGATTAAAACCAGCCTCCCAAATCAAATGTAAACACCTAAGGCTACGTTTTCCATTTACTGGAAGCAGGCTGGATGCACAGACCCCATTAAAGCAGCCTCCCCTGCGCCCCAGGAGCATCCCTGGGGCACGGCAGCGCCCGTCTGCTGGGCATCGCGCTGGGACGTTGGCTGGGCCTGGCCAGCAGCGCCCGCGCATTTGCTCTGCCCGTGGTGCTGCCCTGGGGTGGCTGGTTATGATCTTTAATTTGCATATAAAGAGCCCGGCGGTTCGCGCCCTGTTAATTCAATCAGAGCTCACCCGGCGCCCCGGGGAGTGTGTCAGTGGGTACTGGTGGCACTGGAAACCCTGAGCAGGGAGCAGGGTGCCCCTCTGCAAACGGGGAGAAGCCGTGCTCCCCTCCGCCTGACATTGGAGCAGAAACAAGACACTCACTCTGTTAACCCGTAGGCCTAGAAACATCAAGTGTGCAGGAATTTTGTCATGACATTAATCAGACTAGGCTAGCTTGTACTTTATTAACACCCTGACATTTTGTATTTTGAGTACTCGGGGGTTTTATATTTATATATATAAAATTGTTGCTACAATTACCCTTGGCTCACTTTTCTGGCTTCCAGTTCCATTGCGGATGAAGCCATTGAGAATCCCAGTCAGATAGTTAATTCTTGTCTTTAGCCTGAGTTTCTCTTGGTGGCTGGCAGGCATTTTTCTTTACTGAGCAAGAAAACATTTTATTTCATGTATGTATGTATCTGCTGTCATGTTTCAGGCGGTATTTCTAGACTAATATGTGTTACCTAGGTGGCCCGTTGGAGGAGTTTGCTCGGCATCTGCGTGTCGGCGCTGGGGTTATCAGCCTTCTGCAGGGCTCGGAGGCAGGTTTTAAAAAGATGGTAGTGCTAAGGGCTGTTACTCCAGGTCGTTCTCTCTCCTCTGAGTGAACACACTGGAAAAGCCTTGGGTTTACCGAGGAAATGCAAGTCACCGTTTCACCTAGATCTGCCGTCTCGGTGCCCGTACTGAGCTCTGCTGTGGCTGGCTGCCAGCATCTGTCCCGTGCCCGGGGGCCTCCTGAGCACCCCAACACACTGCTGGAAACCATGCAAAACAGCAAATGCAAGGTCAGCGTTCTCAAGGGAGCAATTTTTGAATACAGATTTATTTTTATTTCTAGTGTGTTCTTTAAGAACATTGAATTTATTGGGGGGGGGGGGGGGTGAAGCAACTCAAGAGTCCAGGATGTGATGCGTATTTCTTTTCTTTTCCAACACAAACTGTATTAAAACTGCCAAAACATCAGTATAGCCTCTTAAGCAAAATATATCATTATGGGAACGCTGAGTTTTGACATTCTGAAGTGCAACTTTTTAACCTTTTGAAAATGCACTTTTATCTTTTGGTTTGACCTGGCTCTCCGCTCTGGGTGTCACAACATCCGTGCCAGCCAGTCAGACCCATGCTGGCAGGCATGGGGAGCATGTGTCTGCCCGGACCCACGGGTGGGTTCCCCCCTTGGCTGGGGAGCCCCCCGAGGGGCACGGCGGGTGGCCCTGGGTGGGTGGCACCGTGTCCCCTCCTGCGCATGGTGCCGGCTCTGCCGCCCTCCCTGCAGCACAGCTCGGGGGGCTTCGCAGTGCCGTGCGTGCCCGGGGGGCGGAATGCTGTCATTCAGGGGGTCCTGCTGCTCCTCTTACCTGTGTCACGGGCGTGAGTGGGGAGAGCAGCCAGCCCACGTGTCTCTGCCGGGGGGCACAGGGTGGATGGAGGGTTGGGCTCCCAGCCCCGACCTGTCTGTGCTGCCCCGTCTGCTCCCGGCGGGAAGCGGTGTCAGTCGAGGGGACCCCGCGATGAGGGTCCTGGTGCCTCAGCGGGGTGCGCGGGCGGTGTGGTCATCAAAACAAATAAATGAGCATCGAGCTTATCTTTGCTATTGGTTGTTGGCGTGAGCTGACTGCCGTTGGCCGCATCCTGACACTTGAACTGGCCACCACAGCGCTGAAGCGGAGCTGAAAATCAACCCGGATTTTGCAAGCTGGTGCCTGGGGATGCAGAGCTGCTGCCAGTGTGGCCGGTGCCGGGCCCAGCCCTGGGCAGTGCGGTGCCAGGGATTTCCCAAGGACACGGGCCAGCCCTGCAGCGTACGGGGGGGCCGTGTTTGGGATGGGGGCAGCCAGCCCACCCCACCAGGCACCCTGCTCACCCCGGGAGCACCCTGCGCCACTGGCGTGGATGGAGGCAGCAGCGGTCAATGGAGTTTGTTGGGGAAGGACGGAATTGTGATTTTTTTTTTTTTTCTTGTAGAAAGTCATACTAAAATATCAGAGAACTGGACACTATTGGAGTCCACTGTCTGCCTTGGAAGTTTCGGCCTTCAATTTACTTTCAGTTCATTTACTCCTGGTAGCAACTTGGTGCCATGTGGCTGGAGGAGTTTAGTACCTGGGTGTCTTCTCTTGTGCTGTGAGATAAGGTGCTGTGATTCCCCGCTCTCTGGTGAGCAGCCCCACGGGAAGGGCTGCTCCTGCTTCACAGCAAGGAGAGGTAAAACACGATATAAGTGCTCAGTATTATGGTTATTAGTATCTGCCAGTGCAACGCCTGCTGTCCCTGAGGACAGAAGATTGAGGTGTCTTCCACCAGCCCCGGTTTGATCTAATTTTTTGATGATTTTTCTTAGACAGATATTTACATAGCTGTAACCATTTTGCTGCAGTTTGGTGTATCTTTGACATTTAATTGTCCTGTGATGCTCGCACTTTGGAGTAAAGCCACATCCATCCACAAGTTAATTTTCAACCACAGACAAGTGAAAAAGGGTTTTAAAACCACCTTACTGCAATCATCTCTTACCCATTCATTGTAATGGTTTCAATGTACTTGCTGAGCATTGTTCTCTGAGGAATTTCTAACCCACATAGTGCAAAAGGCATATTTAACTCTGCTCAGACTGTAAAGTAAGGCTTTTGCTGTCATTAAAAGAGCTCTGCTTAGTAGGATAGCCCCCAGTCTAATAAGTACAGCCCTTCGGCCTCATTTAACAGCCTCCACGAGCTCTCGAGTGCCGCTCAGTGTACAGCCGTACCTACGCCATGGGATGTGTACAGGAAATAATTAACACAAATACTATCCAGGGCTTAAACCTTTTTAAAGAGAGAATGTGTTTGCTTTGCTCCCTCGCAGCGCGAGTCAGACGGTGGTGCAGCACTGGTGTGCATCGTCCCTCCGGCGTGGCAGGAGGAGGCGGCTGCGGGCACCCGGGTGCAGTGTGGGGCAGGACGTGGTCTGTGCCTGCGATGAGCAAAACCGGGGGAACGGGCTGGGAGAGACGGCTCTCGGGCCTCCCTTTGCTGGAGAAGAGGGTCTGACCTTTACATTGTTTGTTTAAAGAGAAGAAACGGCAGCAGGCGGTGCTGCCAGCGCTACCTCGGCACGAGGGGGCTGAGCCTGAGCTCTGGGTGCTGCAGGGGCCTTCTGCCTCCCCGGTGTGCTGGGTGCAGGCTGCTGCTGAAGGATATTCTCCTGTCAGGTCGCTGCGTTCTCAAGCCAGGCCCTGCTCCTGAGCTACAACCGCACGGGGAGAGCAGCCGGTGCTGGCAGGGGCTCTGGCCAGGGGCTCTCTGGAGGGGCTGCTGCTCCCTCCTCTCCTCCATCCCAGGGAAACGCAGGGGAGCGCGGATACTATTTGGGTATTGCTTTCCCTGCTCTAGGCAGCTGATCTCTGCACCAAGCACTTTAAAATGTTGGCAAGTAAGGAAGCACCCTGCAGACGGGCTGGTGTGCGCCTCACGAGCCCAGGGACCGGTTGCTCTGGGCAGCAGGGTCGTATCTAGCCCAGGTTATTAAGGGCTCAGGAGGTTGCTGTGGTACAGAGGGTGGTTTTCTGTGTTCTCCACCGGACACTCAGATTTCTTGGCCCCTGGGGAGGCCGTGCTGTGCTCCCGCTGCAGGCAGTGCACCCACTGGACAGCCCCAGAGTGGGGCTGTGTGACAGCGAGGGGCAGGGATGGGGGATGCTCCGGAGGAGGGCTGCTGGGCTGCTGCAGTTCTGCCCCAGCAGGGAGATTTGCCTGTCTTTTCCTTGTATACGTTCTCCAAACCATTATCATTTAAATGACAAGGTAATGCGAAACATTTGGCTTTTTTTGGCTATAAAATGCACATGGCAGAACTAATCAATTCCAAATGATCGTCATCAAACCATTGCTACAGAAATGAAAAAAAAAAAAAGAAAAGATTTTCCCATTTTCCTGAGTTGCTTACATTGCTCTAAAGCAGCTCAATGTGTAACATTTGTGTGCTGGGCTGCCCTTTGGTAGCCTGGCCGCGCTGCCCGAGCAGGCAGCCCCCACGCAGTGCCGGCTCCGGGACGTGCTGGGGACCGCGGGGTGCACTGGCCTGGAGAGCCTTCACTTTTGTCGCTCTCGAAGCAGCACCCTGGGTGCAGAAGGGAGGGCTTGGCTGGGGGTGCTGGCGGGGCGTGGGCAGTCTGCAGGGCTCCGGGGTTGCCGTGCAGGCAGCGGTGCTGGTGGGTGGCCCCGGCGCTTCGCTCTGGCCGAGCCGGCGGCAGCACCCGGCCTGCCAGCCTGCCCTGCCTGCGCCTCAGCCTGCTTCGCTCCGCAGGACTGGAAGAGAAATGAAG